CAGCGCTGCTGCTGCCACTGAGGCCCAAACCTCCCATCCTGGGCAGTTTTAAGAGCAAATGTTCAGAAACCAGAGTCAGTGACCTACTGTGTGTGGCTCTGGCCAGGGTCACTGATCTCAAAGGGACTTCCCAGAAATCCCAGTATTACTGCCAGGGCTGGGAAGATAGCTCAGGGTGGGCCTCGACTGGGCGCTCAGCATCACCCTCATTTGGTACGTTCTCGAGGTTTCTTAAGCGTGTTCCGTTTTGTCCTCTGCATGGGGCCAGAGCCCCTAGACCCTGCGCGTGCTCTCCCCTGACCGCATTGGCAGTGAGCGCCCGAGGCCGAGTCTCAGCGAGTCACATCTGTAAGTGCTGTTTGTGAGCTCACCTCTTGGGATTAAAACGTGTGTGGTCCAGCTGTCACCCTAGGGTGGCGCAGAGGGCCTGGTACCTAATTGGTGTTTTAAAATCAAGCAAGATTTTAATGAGTTTTCACCCACTCTGCTAAATTTGGGATTTCAGGCAGTTTTTTTTTTTTTCTTTAACCTCATTGAGCTTCAGTTTCCTCATCTGTAAATTCAAAGAGTAAACATCCACTTCATGAAGTTATTTTGCACGAAAGAGTGAAGTGCTCGGCCTAGAGGAGTAGTTATTATTACAGCAGCTCTTCCGCTGCCTTCCCTCATCAGAGCTTGATCTGGCCTGGCCCAGAGGTTCCTGAACCTTCTGTAGAAGCTTCAGAAGTGCTTACGACACAGGGACTGCAGACCAGGACCCCGACAGCAGAGGTGCCCCGGCTTTCTTCTTAGGTAAATAAGAGAAGTGGCTGGAGCCAGGGCAAGAACGGTCTGTGGCTCGTGGCACGTACCAAGACGTGGCTGTGGTTGGGTCAGCCGGCCGTCCATCCAGGGTTCTTGGCCTCTTTGCCTAGGTTAAGGCACCCAGGTTCCCTCCAAAACTGTGATTTCTAACTGCTTTGCAAACAAAACCAAGGCTGCAAAGAAACTTTGGAATTATCAGATGAAGCCTGGATAAAAGGAGAAAGTGAACTTTTTTCCTTGAAGAAAACCAATTGTGACGGGGGAAGAAAAAGGAAACTCAACTCCAAATGGGATCATGTTTTATTCAGGATTTGTGCTGCCAGTGGGGAACGCCAGAACCCGGCGACAGGATGGGAAAGTGGGACACCCCAACTTCAAGCTTCGTGTATTCTGCCGCGAAGTTCCGCTCGCTTCACTGAGCTCAGCTCCTGGGGACCTCTAATGGCCCTTGATAGCAAACATAGTTAAAAATTAACAGACTGACCAAATTAAATATGGATGACAAGCAACCACCGCGGACTTAATCTGACACAGGGTGTTACACGCTTGGGCGCCCTTAACCCGAGTGGCGTCTCGAAGAACTTCTGAGATGTCTGAGCACATTTCGCATGCCTCTTTGGAAGCAAGAGCCTGGGTTGTGCTTAGGACAGACAGGGAAGGAATCTGAAAGCCCAGGAGAGAACATTCTCCCTGCAGGCTTGTGTTTAATTAAACCCATTCTCGATCGGTCTTGGCAGGAGGGGTTCACAGTCCTAGGACCTTGCTCTTGTGGTCTAGACCTTGTGCCTACCCAGGTTTGGGCCTCAGCAACGCCCTGCCGTCCCGACTGGGATCCTGCAAGAGCACGGGGCTGGGGTGGTCATGGCCTTCTCCAGCCAGGCCTCTCTGGCCTCTTTCTTCTCCAGGTGTTGGGGTAGGTGAGATGGCAGGCTCAACCTTTGGACCCAGTCACATAAATCTGGACATTGCCTAGATAACATTGACTTGTTTAATTGCCCTAGGCAAGGAGTACCAGATGCAAGACAAGCAGTGAAGAGCGCTGGTTGTGTTTCATGCCCTGTCTGCTGAGAATGAGTATGGGCCGCCAGTTCTGGGAGGTGAGGGGGACAGGAGTGTCTTTCACACAGTGGTCCTCAGTGGGCCTCACGGCATGCAGCAGAGAAGTTTTTGAAGTGTTCTTCCAGTTTGGGTGAGTGCTTTGTTAGGAATGGAGAGGGGTGCTGTTCAAAGGAACCGTGTAATTAGTGGTACAAAGAGGGTGATCTTTTTGTATTATAAATCATCACTCCGGCCTGTTTGGTGTGTCTGGAGTTTCTTGAACCAGATACGCTCGGGGCTTGCCAACTTGGCCTCAACTCGGCGGGCTTTGACAGAGCTTGCTGTAAGGCCTGACACGCTTTATTTGGTGATGCTACCCAAGAGGGGATGCCGAGGTCTGGAGAAAGTCAGGCAGCATTGGTGATGATAAATCAGCGTGTGGGTGTTTCGCTGCAGTTGGCTCAGTGCTGGGGAAGAGCCCCCTGCCAAGAATATTTAGGGCTCCGTTGTGGGGAGAGTGGTAGAACCTGCCTGAGAATATCCATGCCTTAAAAACCAATTAATCCATTCGTTTGACAGAACATTCTGTCATTCACATGAACAGTTGACATGAACTGTTTTTTAGCTATTTTGTCCAAAGAGGGAGAGCTCAGTTCGGAATGTAGTGCTGGGGACACCTGTATTCATGGCTAGCATCTGCATTAGGAAAGTTCAGAGAAAATCTCAGCTTTTCCGTATAGATGAGACATCCAGGGCACCAGCCATTTTGGTGACCTTCCAGCTCTAATTGGTTTTAGTAAGAGCTGGAAGCTTGGATGCCATATGGGCACACCGCAGCCTCTTGGATCCACCACTGGGAGGGGCCTTCCAGACCAACATTTTGCAACACCCACAGATATTAATAGTTGTTACATAATAAAAAGATTCTGCGGTCAGATAAACTTGGGAGACCCAGGGCTAGATCAGGTCTCACAGGTTTCTGTATTTTGGAACTTCTCGGAGCATTTACTGTGCTGATACGTGTCAAGAAGCTGCTGAAGGGACGTCAACTGTGCATTTCCCCCAAACTTACTAGACTGTAGGGCATCTCTAGACGAGCCGTCTTCCCACCATACTTCTGGAAACCTTAATTAAGAGCGTGTCTCTCGGACTTGTGTGTGCGCTTGGTAGTCACCTGGGAGGGCTTGTTAAAATGCGGATCGGACCCCGCCCCTAGAGTGTCTGCATTTCGCACACGGCCGCAGGAGATGCTGATGGGACGGGCCAGGGACCACACTTTGAGAACCACGGGTCTAGACTTAGCCCTTTATTGTGCCAGAAGAAGAGTGAAACCGAAGGGTATTTACTAACAGTAGTGACCATTAATGGAGCTGGTCACCTGCTGATGACGTGTCACCACTGTTTCTAAGGGCAAAGACGACAATGGGATTCAGTCACTAGAACGGGGATAGCACAAGGCAAATAATACATCTTCTACTGTTTTCTCCTGTGCCACCTAAGCGACCGTGCAAATGCTGGGGGGTCAGGCAGGGGTTCCACCCCAAAGACTAGTCAAGGTCTTTCTGTCCTTGGCAGCAGTATTGGGAACAAATTCTGTGTGTATTTTAATCCTCCGGGTCTTAGTTTTTCTCATCTATAAATGGAAGAGGATGGAAGTTGTTTTTGTGGCTACTTAACTACTTTCTCTAGCGTTCCATTTTATTTTTGTTCTGAGTTATTTTTCTGGATATCTTGTGCCCTCCACACTAAGGTGTTGGAGACTGATAGTGTCACCCCTGCGGGGGCACTGCATTTTAAAAGAGCATTCTTGAAGAAGTGTGATGGTAAAATCCCAAAATCTCCACTGGAACTTACTGATAATAACAGTTGTTTACTATTAGTGACTTATAATAGTAACAACTGTTACTAAGTTCTCATGGAGAAGATTCCCTATTCAGATATCGCAGTCTGTGTGAAGTGCTTAGCAAAGTCTCTGGCACAGACTAAATATCAGGGTCACTTTGGGCTAAATTTATTGCGTTAGAGTTTCTTAACAGGCTCTTCAGAATTCCTGGGATTGTAGACAAGATTGTGAGGGTGTGTGTGAGCGCGTGCGTTTTTCTGCAGATGGGATGAAGAGATGTCAAAGGTCATTGCCTCGTGTGGAAGACCAGCCTGTATTGCTTGATTCGGATGAGTAGACTTAAACCCCTGCTGAACCGTAGGTGCAAAGGAGCTTAACTCAGGGAGCCGGCGGGACCTGTGGGTCTCCTGGCATTAATGATGCAGCTAAAGCAGCCCCCAGAGAATCGCAGCCTGAATGAGGGTGAACCTTCTCTTTGCCCCCCAAACAGCAGTTCAGCGAGGCCGGTGGTGGGAACCCCGGTTTGGCGCCATGAGTGGTCCTGCCCTCTGCCGGAAGGTGGGCACAGCCTTGGGCGTCTGTGGGCTGCGGTGAGAAGAGCCCCTGCTCTCGGCAAGCACGTGGCTTCCAAGCCGCAAGGCACGGGGGTGATGGATTTGGGGATCTGGCTGTCCCCCCGACCCCCCACATCCACTCCGAGGATCAGCGGGCCTGTTCCTCGCCGTGCCCTCACACCTCTGCTGAGCACAGCTCCCTCTGTTTTTTCTTTTTATTTATTTTTTGTTGTTTCAGTCGAATTAGCAGTGGGGGGTTGTTTGCCAACTTTAGTGACACTGATGTCAGTAAGTTCTCTGACAACCCGCTGCCATCAGACCAGCCGAGCACAGCTTACCCTCGACCCCCAGCTTGGAATCCACCCTCTTGTCACCCAGGAGTGTCCTAGAGCAGGCTGACAGGAGGCTGAGGACAGGCGTCCCACGCGCCATGAGCATGCGTGCGACTGAGCAGGCGGAGCGGCCCCGGTGCCGAGGTGGCCAGAGAGGCTGGGGAGGGAGGGGACGGACGGGCTTCCTTCTCGCGGTCACCTTCACCGACGCGGAGCCATGCCATCCACTCTGTGCCTCTCCCTCCCCTCTCCCTGTGTCTCTGTGGCCCCGTTGGGGCCGGTGACCCAGGCAGCACCGTCCACCACTGCGCTCCACACTGACCCGGTGCACACAGACCCGTCCCCCTCCGTGTGTCTAGGTTCCCAGCCCCCCACCTGCCTCGGGCGCCCTGCGCCCCCGCCCCGTCCCTTCCCCCCGTCTCGGGAAGGCAGCCGCAGCTCTGCTCTTTGCTTAGTGAGCAAGTGGATTCAGATGCACAAAGCATAAGCCATGGGTAGGTACGAGTTTTTTCTTCGTGTCTCTCTGTCTTCTCCCCCTTCTGCCCTCTCCCTCTGCGCCCTGCACCTTCTTTCCCCTCCCTCCCCGCCCCACCTCACCCCACATTTCCCCCTCTTATTTCTCTCTTCCCGGTGTCCTGTATATACTCCTCAGTCCCCAAAGCCGTGTGGGTTTTGTCGTCCTCGTGTGGAAAAGTTGCGGATCTCTGGCCCTGCCCGAAGTGAGCTTCGGTGCCAGCTGGTGGCTCCCCAGGAGCGCAGCTTCGCCCTCTGGCAGCTCCGGGCCTCAGCCGAGCTGGCAGTCTGATGCCGGCAACATCCCAGGTGGTCGCCAGGGGAGACCTCACGCGCAGATGGCCTGGGGAGGACCCCCGGTGTGGGCAGAGGCTCAGCGTGTGTCCTCGGTCCCGTTAAGCACCCACTTCCCGATTACGTGAGGCCAGACACCTTTGCCCCAGGTGGCCTTGGTGGGGCGAGTCCCCTGGTGTGACAGCCAGGGAGGAAACGGCCGCTCTGTGAGGAGGGCCGTGGGGTACGAGGAAACCTCAAGGGCTTCCGCGTGTGAATCGGGGCACAAAGTCAGGGGTCCCCTGTCGGCTCGCTCTAGCCCAATTTCTGGACGTTGCAGCTTTTGGAGTCGGGCTGGGGGCTGTCGTGGAGCCCTGTCCTGGATTCTGACCAGGCCTGACCCCACTAGGCTCTGTGACCTCCCTCGATTTCCCCACCTGTGAAATGGGACGACACGACGGGAAGCTTCCTTCAGTCCCTCCAGCGCCCTGCGTTCTGCAGAGTCGCCCAGAGCCCCCTCTGGCCCCGTTTCTACCAGACGGGCGGCTGCCTCGTCTTTGTGCTTTGCAGGGTCCTCTCATGCCACATGGGATGGCCACGGCAGGGGCCCTGGTCTAGGCTTCCCCACGGGGTTCTGACTCGCTGTCTGTCTCAGCTCCCAGCAGTGCCACCTGTGTGGCGGGTCACAGTCCCAGGAGGCCATCCCCCCCAGTGTGAGAAGCTGAGCTGCGGGAGGCAGGCGGCTCTCCCTCTGTCCGGAGGCTCAGGGGCGAAACTGACGTTTCCAGTAGACGCACATTTGTTAAAGACAAAGTTCGCTTGCCCTTTTGTTTGTTTTTTCACATTTTCCTTGGCGTGGGATCTGGAACATCCTGCCAAGTGGACAAGTGTTGCTCAACCCATCTGTGTTTGGGGCTGGCCTTCCGCTTTGGACACCGCATGGAAGCGACGGAGCTGCCCGAGTCACCTGTGGGAGGCTCCTTGCCACAGGCCGCAGGCCCCTCCCCTCAGCAGACCCCACAGTGCCAAGAAGCCACACCCTGCAGAGCAGGAACAGAATCTCAGGTCCCCCCCAGGCCGCTGGTGTGCACGGGGCCACGAGCTGCCCCTCCCCTCCCAAAGCAGACACACGTCCTCACCCCGCCTAGAAAACCGTTAGGCAGCCCGTTCACCAGCCTAGTCATTGCTAAGTAAGTATGGGGCCGTGGAGTCACTGGGCCAGGCTTTAGCCTTAGGATGGCTTTGTTAACTTCGTAAAGGACAATGGGAGCAGGGGAGTTGGTGGCACCTCGGACGCTGGCGCTGGGTGCTGGCCTGGGACCGTGGCCCGTGTATTCCTGAGGGTGCGTGAAAGGCCTCTCGGGACCCTGCTCGGAGGCTTTGCAGAGTGGGTGCCGTCTCGGGACAGTGGGGAAACGGTGGCCACGCGGGACCCCCCGTGAGGAATGGGGACCCCGGCTCACAGTCCCCTCCCCACATGTCTTTTCAGATGCGCTGGCTCCCTCCCTCCGAGGCTACTTCTCAGGGCTGGAAGTCCCGTCAGTTCTGCTGAATGCTACGTAAGTACTTGGTTTCCCTGCGCAGTGTGCGCGTCGAGCACCTTCGTGCGTGTGGCATGCAGCGGGTGCTCTGAGCGCCGCTCTCGTCCTTCCTCGCCCACACCGGCTGCCCTGCCCGTGGTCGTCCGTCTTTGTTAAGCTCACGTGAAGAGCTACGTAGCAGTGCATCTCTCCGAGAGATTTTCACCTGGGATTGAAGGAGAGGGGAGGTACGGATGATACTCTCTGGATCTAACCTGAGGAACCATGACCTGCCCTTCCCACTTCACAAATAAGCAGTCAGTGCGAGTGTCTACAGAACAGGTGTCAGAAAGTATCGTTCCGTAACTGTAGTTCACCTGCCGCCAGCATTAAACAATCCGCCAAGTGACGGGCAGAAGGCATCCACTAATTTACATAGTCGTTTATCATAGGAGTTTCAGAAATTTATGAGAATTAATTTCCCTGCTCGCATCATATCCCAAGTTCTAGTCTTTCTAGAATACCTGATTTTTGTACTGGAGGCTGTTGCTGCTATTTCCGGTAGGCTATCCATAAGGTTTTTTATCTTGAGGGAAGCAATGTCCTAAGTTGGCATCTTTGTGCCATTGTAGACCTAACATTGCTTCAGAGAACTACCAGATAAATTTTTCCTATAAATAGAGAATTTCTACAAAATACTGAATGCTTTCTGTAATTCAGTATCTTGACTGAATTTCTGTTAAATTACAAGGCACTGTTATTCTGAACTCTAGTGTGTGAATTTGGGGAGTCTGCCTCAAGTTAGATTTTTAAAGTGTTAACGCTCTACAGCCAACCTTCTGTTGGTTGACATCATGCCTTCACAAAACAGGAAGAAAATGAGAAAAGGGAGGGACCGGACCTTCATCCTGTCGGAAATGCTAGAGGTCATGGCAAGCTGTTTTGCACATGTACCTAATGCTATTGTAACAGCAGAGTCACGGGCCTCTTCTTGGAGACCTTCTAGTCTAAGATAAAAATACTTCATATGAAACTGATGTTCCTTTTCTTCTACCATTAATGCTGACTCCCATGTCCTCTGTTAGACCATTGGAGGCTATATTTAGACTCTTTCGGAGAGGTAGTACATGGAAAGAACAGGCCTCTGGTTGACTTAGATTCTAGTTAAATGGAGAAACGTTTGAGACCTTTCACAAAGGAAAGATTGAAGCAACGGTGGACGCTAGAGCTGGCCTCGTGCAGGTCAGTGCCCTTTTAGTGAAGTGGAAAAAGAGCACAGAATAAGATTTTTTTAAGGTCCTGGGATTTATTTTCCACAGGCAAGTTACCCTGTTGAAGTCTCAGTCGGTGGCTCAGGTCATCTTCAAGATCTGGGGGGGACTGCTGAGTGTGGACTTGATTTACTGAAGCTCTCCCCGCGGGGGAGGTCGGCACTTCCAGACGAGCTCTGGTCCTAGGTCAGAAGGAAGCCTCCTTTGTTCTCAAAGGAAGGGACTCCCCAAACAGGAGAAAGATTCGTAATGGGTGATAGAGTGTAAGAAATCACCACAAGGTGATCAGAGTGGCCGGTCGGTGTAACCTGGCTATTCAGGACTCCTCCTCTGATGGTGGCAATGGGGTAACATTTCTGTCCTTTAAGACATCAACATCAGTAAACTAGAATTATACCTGTTTTTCCCGTAACCCAGCATATTTCTGAGTGTGGCCCAATACTACTAGTCTTCAGGGATAATTGTAGGCAGAGTATACAAATCCTGCCAAGGTCAAACAGAGTTAAACAAATTTCTCTACCGATAGATTCTCAGAGCCTTCGTTACAATACGAGCATCACGAATCTTTAAGAGGAGGGAGCTCTAGTATGCAGTATTTCTCAAGCTTATTTGAAACCAGGGGATCCTTTTTCTACAGAATCTTAGGAAACTAATGTCTTACATGAAGCATGCTCTGGAAAACTGTACCCTAACCTCTTAGCCAGAAACTAAACCCGTGGCTCCCTTATTCATAGATCCTGGGACAAGTGTTCATCGGTGATACTTCTCATTCATCGGTGGTGATATGGAAAAAAATCAGGACAGTGTAGTAGATTCTTACAGCTATTTGCATTTGTCCTTTATTCTGAAGTTACGTTCATGTGCGTGTGTGTTTGGGAACCTTTTTAAATGAAATGATAGCGTTAGGAAATGGCAGTTGCATTTCAATATATCCTTTCTTAGGAGAATAAAGTTAGAAATCCATGACAGATAAAAAGCGTTCCTCTAAAATATTTCACTTTTTTGTGAAATCTAAAAGTTTGCTTTTCAGGAAAGACTCTTTTTGTCCCCTGAAAATACTATTTTTAAGCTTTGAGATATGTTTTAGGGTCTGTTGAGTCCAGGGTTTTGTAAGTCCGTGCTCCGTATTCATATACTCGTAATTAAAAAGTTTTTTGAGACAGATTCTCCCCCTGTCACCCCAGCTAGAGTGCACTGGCATCATCCTAGCTTACTGCACCCTCAAACTTCTGGGCTCACGCGATCCTCCTGCCTCAGCCTCCCGAGTAGCTGGGACTACAGATGTGCACAACCACACTTGTCTAATTTTTCCTATTTTTAGTAGAGACAGGGTCTCACTCTTGCTCAAGCTGGTCTTGAACTCCTGACTTGCCTCAGCCTCCCAGAGTGCTAGGATTGTAAGTGTGAGCCCCTACGCCCGGTCCCCAGAATTGATTTTGGAAGTTATACTACAGATCCCAAAGCCTTAATCATTTAGGCTCTTCCATCACCTTGGTGACATTGGTGCAGCTCTGCCCTACAGCTCCAGAAGGCCCCTGCTGTGAGCTCCTGTCTTTTCCGTGGCCACGTGTTCATCTCTCGGTTTTCCGAGGCTGGCGGGGTACGCTGGCGGTGTCGAGGATGACAAAACTGGAAATGTGGAAGCCCGTGAGAGGGTCACGGCTTGAAATGCAGAGCTGGCATTCGGCAAATGCCGGGAGTGTCAGTGAAATGGGAAGAGAGGTCACTGAGCACAAAACCTCGCAGGTCACCTAAACACAAGCGTCGCAGCCTGTGGAGAGAGGAGAGAGACTGGAAGGGGCAGGGGAGGCAGGTGGCCCCGCTGGGGCCCGTCAGGTCACTGCTCTCGGCCGTGTCACGTGCTCGGTAGGAGAGTGAGTCACGGTGAGAGGAGGCCTGCAGTTTGGCAGTTTCAGTTGGTAAAGATGTTGGCACAGGGCCTTAAGGAAGGGCTTTTTTATTTTTTATTTTTTAAAATTATACGGGCCAAAGAGCAGATACCATGATTAAGCATCACATGAGTTCCAGAGAAAAAGGTCCTGGGCTTTGCTTGCGTCAGCGCACACGATGGTTTCCAGATCGTCACTCTGCACGGACCATCAGCAGAGCCCTAGGGGACAGCACTGGCTACCAAAGAAGGACTAGCGATTGCTCCCTTCGAAGTGCGGCTGTAAAAACCCCGGACGGGCCGAATGAAAACATGCAGCGTCTCCCGTGGATGAATCATTCGTTCTGAGCTAACTGTGGGCCATGAGCCAGACGCGGGTCCGGAGGGCGGGGCGGGTGGCTACGAAGGAGGGGGGTGACAGTGCCCACCCCTGCCACTCCGGGGGTCTGGTCTGCCGCCCCATGCGAAGTGGGACCAGCTCGCTGTGGATCCGTGATTCCAGCTCCTTCCAGTCCCTTGGATCAAGTCCTTTCCAAGACAGCTAACAATCCAAGCGACGTCATCGTAAGGAAATGGACGTTAGACTTGGCCACAGCGGTGCTGATGAGCTAATGTAAACGTCTGGACCACAGCGCGTGTCTCGCAAAGGCCGAATGCAAGGCCGGTGCCGCCCACAGCGCTCCTGGCCCGGCGGCCTGCTCCATGCCGTGGAGGGGCTTTCTGTCCCCGCTCATCAGTTCCCTCCCTGCATGGAGACGGCACCAGCACAGGAGGGCAGAGGCAGGAGTGACGTCTGGCATCCGACTAACGACCTGCGTGCAGACTGGCTGTCGCTTCTGACGTCGTGGGGCCCCGGGCACCGTCCTTCCCAGCCGGAGCAGTCAGGGCCTGCTGTCCCCGAGGCCTTCGAGGATTTCTAACTTACCACTTTGACTTCTTAGTGCTAAAGAGAAATCAGGGACCAGGCCAGAAATGTAAATAAGTGCTTTATTCTTTAAATAAACATTTGCTGTGTCCGTTGTGTGCTAGATAGCAAAATGTGGAAAAACAAACCAGGCGTGTGGCCCCAAGGAGCTTCTGTTCCAAGGGGAGAGCGTCGTGGACACTTCGTGGAAGAGAAAGGACAGTGACTGCTCACGATGCTCCCCGATCAGCCTGCCGTGGGCAGAGCTGCAGAGCAGAGCGTGCGCGCGCTGTCATCTTGGCACAGGTAAAGCCACCGGGGTGTGGCAGGCAGAGGGAGACGGTGCTACCGGGGTTTTCATTTGCTCGGCATCTTGCCTGGTGGTCGGTATTCAGTCGATCGGGCTGAATCTCCGCGTCACCAGCCTTTTGCTGGCGGTCAGCGTGTGGCAGAGGACCCCAGAACACATGACGATGAGTAAACATGATCAGCTTCCCGGACACTGAGAGCAAGAGCATGAGCGAGTTTCTGTCGCTCCTTACGGGAAACGAGGGCTGGACACCATTCCTCGTGACACATCCAGATACGGTCAAACTTTCTGTAAAAGGGAAGAACGGGAGTTGGGGAGTCGGGGCGGTGTGGGGAGGTGTTCTTCTTTAAGAGCTCATGAAATTTCCCTGGCCGCGGACCAGGACCATGGCGTAGAAATTACAAGCACACGCAGTGACAGCCTCGCCGGATTGGAGAAGGAGGTGGCGAGAGCCAGCGCGGTTGGATGTGGGAGCTCTGTGCTCCTTACGTGTTGTTTTGGGAGGAACGGCCTGCCCTGTCTTGGGCTGTGAGCAAAGAATTGTCCTCGGGGGAGCCCAGGTGCTGATGTCCCTGGGAGGGTGTCCGGGGAGGGGCGCTGGGTCTCCCGCAGCTACCCTGCCCTCTCCCTAGGAGACACCCACCTGTCACGCTGCAGTGACTCATTTGCCAGTCCCCTTCTACTCATCAAGGTCCCCACAGCACACCTGGGGTTATTGCACGATAGAGATGCAGTGAACAGCTTTGGGTGACAGAATAATAAACGTAATCGGTCCGGTGATGGTCAGTGTTGCGGGAACAAAATAAAGGTGAGAGGACAGTGCTTCGGGTGACAGGCACTTGTGTGTGACACAAGGTAGCAGCGTAGTCGCGTCAGCCTGGGAGGGTTGCACCTGAGCAGGGCCCTGAAGCTTTGCCAGATTCCTGTGAGGTTTCTATTCCAGCACAGACCCCACTTAAGTGAAGTTTAGAAAGTAGCTGAATCTCTCTGACCCTCCTGTCGCGTCTCCCTTTGCTAAGTCCGAGCGAGTGGCCTCGCAGTGCAGCGGGCTTGGCTCGGGCGAGGTTTGGAGGAGTCTCGGACGCGACGGCCAGGCGGCGGTGCGGCGGAGCCCGGGCGCGCGGTCGCCCCCCTCCGAGAGGCTTCTGCGTTTCCCCAGCGAGCACAGCGAGCCCTCCAAGCCCCGCGTCTGCCACGGTTCCCGCGTGAGTTACGCTGGGCCTGGAGTCCCGCTGGGCCTGGAGTCCCTCTGCGCCTGCCCGGTCCGCGGGGCCGCCCTTCCAGCCGCCGCTGTGTCTTCCGGCGTCTGCTGCCACCACACACGGCACTCACGGAGCTCCCTCCGAGCCAAGACCGTTGTGACGACGAAACGCAGTGAAAGCTGCCATCCTCCCCTCCCGCTTTTGCCCGCGATCTGTTCCCCGTGCGTCTGGGCGGAGTGCCTCGGCTCCCAGCATCGGCACCCACTGTCCCCAGGAAGAGGTTCGCAGAGGGCGGCCACATGCTACGACCAGGACGTTGAATCAAGTTGCTCCACAGCTCCTGAGAGCGGTTCTAGGTCGGGGCCCCCTCCAGGAGCCTCTGCCCCGACCCTCCAGTCCAGCCTCTCTCCTGCTTGGCGGAACGTGGAAATTCAGAAGCATGAAGTTCGGAATTCTGTGTTCTCTGGGGACTCGTCTCGCGGGGTCTCTAGAGTAGCGTCTGGTTCGTGCGTTCTGACCGCCCGCCGGGCGAGCCCCGCTGCGCAGACGACTGTTGCTGCTGTAGCGGTTGTTGATCAACTAGGACAGTTGTTGATGTGCAAAGAGGAGACACGGGGTACCGGTGCAGGTCCCCATGCTCTTATTCAGTGCGAGTCACACAGGTTAGCTTAAGCCCGGAGGCCAGGAGGAACAGTGTGACTTCTTAAACGACAGGCGTCCTAAAAGTGCACCCTCCCCGAAAGTGCAGCCTGGCGCTGTGGCCCGGAGGCACCCTAGGGCCCCTGCCGCAGGCGCTCCGCCCGCCCTCCGTCCCGTGCTGCTGGCGAGTGCGGCGAAGGCCCAGAGAAGTTATGTGAGCTGATAGGTTTCCTTTGCAAAGATGAATGTTTATTTTCTTGTCCTCAAGTAACTTTTACTAGGAAACTAGAATCATATCTACTCATCTTTAATGTGTTTATAGTGAAATTCTGGGGAAAACATGTTCTCCCTGAATTCCAGGAAGAGAGAGATCCTAGGAAGGTGGTCTTTGCTTCAGGCTCAACCGTGGTCCCGGAGGCGGTTTCAGCACCGGGCGGTGGCGCTCCTTGCTGAATCGGGTCGGGCCAGCCTCCTGTGCCTGCGCAACTAGTGACTTGTTTCTGGGGAATGCGACAGTTTGCAGCAGCACGTTACGCACCCCGTTCACGAAGCCTTGCGTGCTAGAGCCAGCCTCTGTGTCTGCAAGAAGGAAAATTCTAGAAATGTTAGTAGGGACTAGGGCCATGGGCATCCACATGCAGAGATGGGCTTCCTTCCTTGGTACCAGGAATTCTGGTGAAAACTGGCTGGCTCAGAAGCAGCCATGTCCCCAGGACAGATATTACAAACGGATGATTAGCTGGGTCTTTGTACCCTCGTATTTCAAAATTCTCAGACCCTAGGGAGTAGCAGGGTATGTTCACAAATGTGTTTCCTTTCAGTTTTTGTTTTCCAGGAGGTGCTGGGAGCAAAGTTTAGTCATTGGCGCAGTGTGATAGCACAGGGCTCCCGTGGCCTGGGGCGGGCCAGAGTTCTTAACGTTTCTGGATCTTTCTCTGGGTGCCGCAGGTCCCGTGCCCTACCTCGGCAGGGCTTTTGGACGGTCGTTAGCGTGTAGGCCACAGTCCTGGGGACGTAACCGTGGGAACGTGTTTGCAGAGTGCCTGCTTGCTGGGCCTGCCACAGGCGTGGCTCACAGCCTTGGCGAAGGTGTCCCACGGCGTGCTTTTCTCAGAGTGTCTGTCCTCCCTGGCCCCTGAGAGCCTCCGCTCACTTGCTCCAAGTCCTAAGCTCATTTCCCGGGCTGAGAGCTTTCTATGCCACTAATGTAAGATGGTTCCTAAGTGGCGGCTTGTCCCCAGCTCGGCAGCAGGAGGCCAGCGGGGGCTGGAGGCTGCTACGCACCGTTAATGGGTGGTGTCTTTCTCCGTCCCAGGTCCCAGGTGTGTGATGGCGGCTGCAATCTGTCTTGTGGGTATTAATGCAATCTTCAACGGTGGCTCCTGTTCTCCAGCTGTTCTGCAAAACTGGAGCGTGCCGGTGAGTTCCAAAGTCAGTACAGAACAAGCCGTCCAGAGGGGCAGCTCGTCCGGGGTGGGGCATGACAGCGTGGTCGGGGGCGTCACGCCTGCATCCCTGCGCACTGCAGGCCTCGGGGCTGAGCCCGGCGACCTGGGTGCTGGCGCCTGGCGGGGTGGTTCTGAAGGGTGGTCTTTTGTTACCCAGGGTCTGCTTAGCGCAGGGCGTCCCAGGATAGCAACTGATAAGTTCTGTTGGTTTTTCCCTTTTTAAAACATTTTATTAGATATAGAGGGTACAAGTTAAATTCTGTTCCATGTACGTATTGTCCAGTGGTGATAACTGCTGCGTTTTAAAGCACGTCACCCCCAGTATTCGGTCCTCACCACGACCGTCTTGGGTAGGGCTGGCGCCATTTGCAGCTGCTTATGTAGTAGGGTCATGACATGAGTCCACCTAAGGGAATTTCACTGAAATGAAACTTTTCCCGTTGAGCCCCTCAGCCTTTTTTGGGAATTATCCATTTTGTTAGAAATCTATTTCAGATGTAGCATGTATATCCCCCTATTTTATTAATCCAATTATAAGCCCTTTCTTGATGGCTTAGGGACATTTTTATGAGCTTCTTCAGAAATAAGATGATTACCCTGGGCATGACGGAGTCATACAGGAGTCTCAGTGAATTCCTCTACTGCGGGGCTGTCGTCGTAGGCAGCGATGTTGGCGATCTGTCCGTCTGTTCAGTCGGTATCAGCTGTCACCGCTCACTGAGCTTCTGGCAGTGAGTATAGTCTTTAAAAAAAAAAAAAATCATAGGGTTTGCAGAGGTGACTTGCGTGCCAGACACCACACATAGGGGTTTCCGGGTCTCCCTGGAAAGCGTGGCTGAGAACGGCAGGGACGCCAGGGGCAGGCGGTGGCAGCCTCGTGCGGGGCCTGGGGAAAAGATGCGTCAGAGCGGGAGGCAAGACTCCTGCTACAGACAGAGAACCACCGAGCAGTTCTGGCCAAGGAGGTCATCACCACATTTTGGGGGCTTCGGTCATTTCATGCCCATGACAGTATCTCTCAGTGCTCGCCGGGAAGCACACGCCGGGCAGGTGCCAGGCCCTGCAGCCCCACCTGCAGCTTCCTGCACTGTGGCTGTCTTTTCCGGTGACGTCGTTTCTCGCAAACTTACCAACAGGTAACGTTTTTCCACATCACCAACGACAGCTGGTAACTACCCCACTAGTTCGATAGCCTAGTCATGTTTTATATTTTCCTCTTGTCGTCGTTCTTAATAGTAATGCCCATGGCATTCTCACTGATACTATCACTCAGGAAAACTTTTATTCTAAAAGACACAGTTTTGTTTTGTCTTTTTCCCTCCTCTAGAGAAATTTTAAAGATCAATTAAAAGCCACCCATGTAATTTGTTGGAAGCAAGTTACACATAATGGTTAAATGCAGTAAATCAACCAAAATATCAATAATTCAAGGCACGTGGGCAGTCAAAGCAGCAGGAGCAGGTGGTGATTTGACAGACAGCAGAAGGGCCTAGTGAGGGGGGCAGGAAAGAGGTTTCCGGGGAACTGGGACATGGGCCGGGGCAGCTAAGGGTCAGGTTGCAGATGGGCCCAGGAGAGGGCGCAGCCGGTAGGGGAAGGGCCGCTGTTCTCAGCACTAACTGTGTTAACTGTTTGTTGGGGCCATCCATGGGTTACAGGAGTGAGTTTGACGGACGTCGCATGACACTGCTCATATGACCTACCCTTGGAGGGCAGCCTGGGGTCGGTGTCTAAAGCGGAGTAGAGTTACTAACTGCAGAAAACTGTTCCCCTTGGGGCTCTAGAGACTGTGAACTTTTCAAAGGACATGTTTTTTAAATGTCTTTTTATTACAAATGAGTATCAGTAACTTATTTTTTAAATGAAGCTGATAGGTATAAAATGAAAAGTGAACGTCTTAGGTCATACGATGGCCCATGTTTATTTGCAATTGGATGCAGGAGAGTATACTCTGTGACTTTTGGTCAGAATGAGTAAGTGCTAGAGAAACTGTCGGGAAGAATCGTGAGAAACTGAGTCGAGTGCACGCGGGGCCTGGGGGATCCTCCCCAGCGATGGGTAAGGGGACGGCAGCCACCCCCGGGCATGGTCACCCCACACACCCCTCAGTAACTGTTCCCACGTGCTGATCTTTTCTCTCCACTGAAAAGAAGTGATTCTGCACGATTCCTGAGGCGCTCAGGTGTTCTCCAGTGTCTTCACACTGCACGGTTCCAGCTTACCTGGGACAAGGAGACTGTATACTCGTCACTGGCGTGTTGCAGTCGACCCCCTTCCAGGGAAGGCTCTGGGAGGGGGATTGATCTCCCGCCACCCCCACCCCGTGCTGCTTTGCGTCCCCGGATATCTTTGGGTTCTGTTTAAAATGTCCTTGTGAATACATTCCAAGGTTTGAACTCCGTTCCTAGCTAAACCTCTTCCTTGTTTACAAGGACCGAAATAGCCACATTTTGACCTTCTGTTCCGCCTGGGAACATCTATGGCCATGTGGATACATTCTTTTCCCATGTGAGGGTTACACTTCCGTGGCACAGTTACGAGGCTCGGGAAGCTGCAGCCCTGTCCCTCCTCCTCCCGCCCGTGTTCTTTCACTTGGGAAGATGAGCCTTTCTCATCAGCCGGAGCCCCCAGCCCCGTACACCTTTCTTCCTGCCCAGGGGTCGAGGGAGGAAGGGACAGGGTATTAGGCAGTCAGGACAGGTTGCTTGCTGCCCAGGAGGCTGGAGGGAGGCATTGCTCCCTGCAGAGGCGGCCCAGTGGGGGTCTCAGGTGCCGCGGGCTTCCAGCCAGGCATCATCAACACTGGGAGCTGAGGCTCGGGGCCTTGGGCCCCAGGTGCAGGTGTCGGGTGGCGGGACTGCGCTTCTGGCATGTGCAGGGACTGTGTGTGGGACTGAGGAAGGAGACGGGGACATAACAATCCACGTTAATCCCCGTGAAAGCCACAGAAGCGGCCTGACGGGGAGAAGTATGGGTGGTTCGGAGGAGGCGGCCTGCGGGCTGGCAGTATCAGGAACGGTGACTTTTGAAAGACAGCGTGGGTCCGTGTGTGCCCAGGTTTACGAGGGTCTTGCAGGGTGTGTTGGGGACTTGGGGGCCATCAGAGAGACTTGAGGTGGAGGGTGTTTTAGGAATCCTTGTTCTCTTGCAGCCCAGAAGCAAACTGGATGCAGATTCAAGGCGGAGGTGACCCGAGAGCAGGGCTGGGTGGAGTTTGCAGTAAGGGGCCGGTGCAGGGACAGAGACTGACAGGGCCAGGAGGGGGCTAGGGCTTAGCTCTGTTGCCTTTGAGGTCTCATCACAGTGTGGGAAGCTGAAGGGAAGGAATGTCCAGGAATCGGCCGTGGAGCCCACAGAGGGCAGGGCTGCCAGTGCGCATTTGCTCACGGATGGTCGAGGGCAGTGGACGTCCAGTCCCCAGGTCCCTGCCAGACAGCGCTGGAGCTGGCAGGCCCAGCATGAACAGAGCCGCGGGGAGGCAGAGCTCCCACGTGGCCGGCCTTTGCCTACGCTTTTTTTGGTTTCAGGTCGTTGGTCTTGGGGCTGGGTCCCCACATCTGGCCCCCTGCAGCCTGCGCCTGGTGAGAGGCCTGGTGGCCAAGGGCTGCTGGGTGCTGCCCCTGTGAATTGTTCCCAAGTAGGAACAACGGTAGAGTGTTCATCATAAAGCGTTTCCTGGAATCGGCACACAGCTTGGCCTGCTGGCATGTGGTCAAGTTTAGAAAGATGTGGGACTTGCAGAGGAAGGAAACTGGCCTTGTGTCTATAAGCTGGTTTTCCCCACTGTTGACAGTGACGGGTGTGGGGATGCAGGTCCCTGCCTCTCCACACTGCAGCGATTCTCTTTGAGAACCAGTGTCCCTGAGGTGGCTCCTTGGGCAGCAGATCAGGCAGCAGTGAGGATGTGAGCTCGTCAGGGAACTTCAGCTGCTCTACTCCAAGGCCTGGCCCTGGAACTGCCTGCAGGGCAATCCCATGCTCACTCCTGCCCCATCCTGTGCACCCCTGGACTCTGCCCGCTTCATACAGGGTGTGTTAACAGGGTCAGAGTCGTCAGGAAAGGAGATTCTCCTGCAGGAGCTTCACCCCGTTCACCCCTGGGAGCCGGACCCTGGTTTAGAGAATTCTGGGAGAGTGAAGAAGAGGGAGGAGTGGTGGTCACTGTGGTGGGTCAGGCCCTCACAGAGCTCGCATGTTGGGAGCATTTCCCAAGCAAAGCGCTCTCCTTTGACCTCCCTCTACAGTAACATAATTAACTGATGAGCTGGTGCTAAGATTTGCAACAACCTGAGAAGAAAGCATGACGTCACAGCTAAGGTTCTGGGTGTCTCTATCCCTGCCAGGGGACTGCATGAGCCCTAGGCCTGTGGTAACCGTACTGGGTCTCAGGGTACAGCCCGTCGTCATTTCTATACATTTGTACTGTCGTCCAGACACTAGCAGTGAAAAGATACCTTGGATCATAGTTCAGATGCAGCCGGCACTGTGCAGGAATACCTGCAGGTGGTCGAGTACACTGAGTGCTCAACTACACCGGGACTTAACACACATTTTCCCAGATAACAACCTATCTGTTTCAAGTTAGACTTATCACTGGTGTTTTCTTTATAGCCTCTTCCCATACACAAGCATTTCTCTGTATAAAATTCTATATGCTGATCTACGTACAGCTTTTGCACAACCTCAATTAGGTGAGTCTGTTAGTGACCTAATTTATGTGAAGGATGCGCCGTAAAACCGAGCACAATAGAGCTGTGTTCAAGAAAATCCCTGGGACCGGGGTGGAACTGTCAGTAGGAGTCGAGGACTTCAGGTGTCTTTTCTGCCACAAAGCAAAACCTGAGCATTTCCAGCAGCTTCAGGGGAAGAGCTTGAAAAATTTCTATTACGGTGAGATTGTTGATGCTCTGGGTGTGGCATTTGGGTGGGCAATGTTTGTGTATCACATACCCACTGTCATCTGAGCCATTAATTCTCCTTTCTAGAGGCATCTGCAAAAGGTAGCTGGAGCAGCCAGGAAGAAGTACTGACTGCACGTGGCTTTGAGATCTGGTCTCCTCACGTGTTTTCTTTCTGTTTCAGGCTTGAAAAAACCCTGCCCAGTTTGGAGCCCTTCAAGACTTTGCCACAGCCTCTATCACACATCTGTTTTTCTCGAAGAAAAAAAAAATATAATAAAAATGTTTTACTCTTTTACACTGTATAATTGTAAGAAATAGTGTGTTACTTGTGAATGCATGGTCTGATAAACATTTCTGTACAGTTTGGAGATATTTTCAAACGAAACATAAAAGCAGTCAATAAAACCAAGAAAGTGAGTATTTTTATATCAAACATTTAAGTATATTGGGATGAATGATCTTACACTGGGTTGGATCACAGTTTCTGTGCTTGACTTTTGAATGCTTATAATTAAAAATATCTATTTTTTTCTCTAAAATAAGCTGCATGTTTGAGGCATGTTTCTAAATATTATCAGAATTGTATTGTGAATGTATAGAAACCTGTTTCCCTGGCTGGAGTCAATTAGAAACGTGGTGTTAGATGCTAGAAACAACAGTTACTAGGTCTGTAAGTCCCAGTTCTAGTAGGATAACCCTGCAAGACAATCAGAATCCACCAGGACCTCTACCTGAATGGCTTGTTCAAACTGGGCAAATTTCAAATGCTGATATAGCGAAACATGATCACAATCTTATTGATCTGCTCACCTTGTGTTGAAAACTTCAGTGTTTTAACGATTATATGGTTGGTTTGGGTTTTTATTTAATTATTTTCCATTAGAAATAAAGATGTCAAGAAGCTTTTAAAGGTCATCACAAGGCCAGGAACGCGGAGCTCATGTAGCCATAAATCGGAGGGACGAAGGCAGCAGCTCAGGCCCTTATGAACCATCCACCACGGTGGTCAAGGAAAGGACCTACCTGTGCCCTCTACGCCACCTGGCTCTTGGTGAGGCTCCTGTACTCATTTTAAGAAAACAGGCACTTCCATATGGTCTGTTATGCTTTTATAAACTGTTTAAAGGTACTTTTCTATTATTTTTTAAAAATAAAATGCTTATTCCAGCTGCCACACCATTGCTTGGCAAATTCTTTTTTGCAAGATCAACCAAACAAATCCCACTCTGTGGACAGGCGCCCACAGGTCTCTCCCCCACTTTCAGGCTCGGCTGAGCCAAGGCCCGAAGAAGAGGAGGAACAGACATAAGGATGGGAGAGCCAGGAATAACCTGGACAACGGTGCCGCTGCAGCCACTTGTGACCAACGCCAGAGGCAGGGGAGGCTCACACACCATTTTATTTAACAACATAAATGAACCTCGACCACACTCTGTATGAAATGCCTTTTACTACACTCAGCTGCCTACCGTATCCACCTCAGCCCAGAGCTTGAGCTCAAGATTATCTGAATTCTATGAAGGTGTCACGTACGGTTTTCTGCTGACTTAAACGCATTTTAGTAAGGTTAAGCAGGCATCAGCAGTGTTCCATATTCACTCACCCCCTCTTCTTCCCCCAGAAGGGGAAGGGGGAAAACAGTGCTCCAGTCCAAGTACTGACAACACCACTAATAACTGAGTTTTGCTGGGCACCGAGATGACAGTTCTGTGGTCAGGCTCTCACATCCCTCTTGCAGGGGAGACCATCCACCAAACACAGTCAGGGTCACTGCCTTCCAGTCCCCTGGAACTCGTGTAACTGCAGGAAGCTAACATGCAGCTTCCCGCAGCCATTCCCAGGCCTGAGGTCCATGCCCAGCGCGGCTTTCCGGAACAAGCCTGATCCTGTGGCTCTGCCTCCCCTCCATCTGCGAGCTGCCAACTCGGAGGCCACAGAGGCTGCCCAGGAATGGACGCCGCTTGCCCTTAAGGCCCTTTGCCACCTCGGGCCACCACCACCCCGACCAGCCACTGGCTGAACAGTCGCTTCCACGTGATTTTTCACACGGCCTTGGGGTGGACGGGTGCCCCAGTCGGCACGCTGACACGCAGGTGACAAGTCTGGATGGCATTTACCAATCTAGCGTGAACTCCAGATACAGTCCCACTGACCCGCCAGTTGACACCAGCTTCATGACAGTGTGTGAAAAATTGCCTTTTTTGTCACTGTATTGAGAGGAATGAATACAGTGTCTCTTTTGGAATCAAGAACTTGGGATAAGAAAAAGGCAGTTTGCTCGTTCCCACTTGCTCCCATGCAAAATGTCCCAATCTGTAGGGCCCAGAAAGATGGTAACTAAGCCATCTCTTGGTTTCATTACTGAATGGACCCTCCCTCACGAACGCTGATGGAACTATAATCCTAGCACTCTGGGAGGCCGAGGCAGGAGGATCACTTTGAGGCCAGGAGTTTGAGACCAACCTGAGCAAATGGGGCAACCCCGTCTCTACAAAAAAAAAATAGAAGAATCAGCAGGGCGTGGTGGCACACACCTGTAGTTCCAGCTAACCTGGGAGGCTGAGGCAGGAGGATCACTTGAATCCAGGAGTTTGAGGTTGTGGTGAGCTATAGTGCCACTGCGTTCTAGCCCAGGCAACACAGCGAGACCCTGTCTCAAAAAAAAAAAAAAAGACTGGCATCTAAAAGACCACCTTCTACTTCAATAACAGACTACAAATTAAAAGAATGTGGAAAGAACCTTACAGTTTGCAAAATGAAAGTTGTATCTCCAATTAATCACATCTAGGCTTCAGATTCGCTGGACCCAGGCGTGCATATGTGTCTGCCCTACTTTCATGGACTAACTTGCAATTATTTCTGCCCCATCCCTGAGGCTCCTCCAAAGTCTGGCATCCCTGGGGCCTAAGCTGTGTGGCATAAGGACAGTAACATTCTTAAGGATGATGGAGGCAGAGCCGATGTCCCTGTATTCCACATCTCATTTTACACAAGAAGTCTTGGTGTCTGTATCAAGGTGACACAGGAATGTTTCTTTTTCAAGAGATGGTTCTATGTTGCCATGTTGCCCAGGCTACAGTACAGTGGCTATGCACAGGTGTGATCACAGCTCACTGCAACCTCAAACTCCTGGCCTCAAGCAATCCTCCTGTCTCAGTCTCCCCAGTAGCTGGGACTACAGGCACAAGCCAACGCCCCCGGCTCTAACTCAGTATTTGAGTGCTTTGGGCAAGACATGCTCTGTTCTAAGAATGTGAACAGATTTCCGGGGCACTCCCAAAGTGCTGGGATTACAGGCATGAGCCGGCACACTTGGTTCTCCAGTGACACCCACGAATTCTCCTTTACTGTGGCCTCAGGAGTTCAAACCTCACTGATGCCTGCTTTGGGGGTTTTCTAGGGGGGGCTCTTCTTACAAACCATAATGTAATCCACCTGGAAACAAAGCAGTGAAGCTTCCATCCTCCGTCGTTTGCTTTCGTCTCTCACTATGGACGTGGAGCAAAGAGAAAAATCGAGTCCTTTTGTTCCACTCTCCATTTCACAAATTCCAGTAGGGCTCTGACCAGGCTCGTTAAAGCCAAATTAAATCATATAGAAGCTGTGTGTGTGGGGGAGGAGGGGTGGGAACAAAAGCCGAATCAGAAACTTGCTTAGGCCAGATCCTTACATTCAAAAGAGAAGGCCCAATGCAAGGAGAAATGCGGCTCAAGTTAAAATATTTACCTGGACAAAGGAGCACTTTTTCCCCAAAACCAGAACAAGGGCCTGGGGTGTGCGGGGCTTGGCAGGCACGTTCGGAAGCTTCCATAATCGCGTGCAAGATAAACCTGCCCTGAGCACTGCCGGAGCTGGTCCTGCCAAAGTCGGGGTACGGTTTACTCAGTTGTCTCGTCAGCGCCCTTCTGTGTCTTCTTATTTTAAAGAAATTCTAAAGGTAAGTCTTTGCCTTTTGTCATTAGAAGTATGAGCCCTGCAAAGTTCTGGCCAGATCAAAAGCCACTGGCCACTGCATTTTCCCCAGAGTCTTGGAACCACGTGCTTTGGATCACAAGAAGGTGCTGCCACCTCCGAAGCAGTGGAGCTGGGCCAGGCCTACAGCCCTGAACTGTCCGCGGGGCCTGCGACAAAGCAGCCCGTCCATTTGCAGAACAGCAACCATCCACCTTTATTTCTAATGGAAATCCTTTTATGAAGGAAAATGCACTTTTGTTCTTTAAACCACAGCCTGAGAAAGGCCAACAGCACAGCGCCAGGGCCTACTCCAGCTCTGTGTTTCCAAGTGTGCTTCCCCCAACACTCAAGACAGGATGGGGACGGTGTTCCAAGGGCCAGTTTGTCTGAGAAACAGTTTCCAAGAGGTCCTTGGACCTCCCCCACCCCCGACTCCCACAGAACACGCATTCATCTCAGGATGTCCCGCAAAACCCACACTGGGAACCGATGAGCTACCCTCCGTGAAGCTCTGAGGACAACAACCCAAGTGACAGCGCATCTTGCTGCCCTTCCAGGCACCACGCTCCAGCCCTGCTGAAAGCACAACGCTAGGCTCAGCTTGTTAACAGTCAATGAAAATCCAAAGTCTTCCCCATGAATGAATCGTTTGAAAGTAACAATCAAGGCTAGAGAGAAGAGGGGACACTGAGTCTCACCTTCTACGCCTCAGAAAATTGCCACTAGCTGGTAAGAACTGGGGAACTGAGAAATCCAAATGCCCTAATCCCATACAACTGCCGACATTCAGAATGCGTCTTTCCTGCTAGTGACTTTATACAAGCAGCTCACAAAAGACATCCAGGGCTGACGTCCACAGTGCCTGTGAACACCAGGACGGAAGTAATAGGGTGTTCAGAGTGGCCTCTCCACTAAACACTGCTCAACGGGTCCCAATGCTCCTGTCCCCTGGGCCCCACCATCACCGGGTCACACTTACAGGTTATGACAGCAACAGCCAAATGTTCATTTTTTACACTCGGTCGAGGCTCAGCTACATTTCTCTCAGCTATCCCTAAAAGTCTCACACGAGTGATGAATTATTGATCACATGAACAGCAGACTGTCCAAACTTCTTAACTCACCCAAGCATGCCCGTTCCCTCCTGCTTCTAAGTGGCCAGCAGACCCAGCAGAAACAGGCAGAGGCGAGAACACAACTTCAGCTCGGAGTCTCTGGTGGATATATTTTAGACATCCAGAAGAACTGCTAGGAGGCTCTTCTTTCTTTTCATAGGCACACCTCAGAGATGCTACAGACATCCATTCCAGGCTACAGCAATAAAGTGATTATCACAATAAAGCAAGACACATTATTTTTGGTTTCTCAGTGCATATAAAAGTTATGTTCATGCTGTACCATGGTCTATCACATGATCCTGGAACACAACTAGGTGTCCTTTACGATTTTCCACCAGGACTGTGTGTCCTCCCCACACGCCACCAGATGGCGCAATCCCGGCACCTCGATGTGCAGTGCATGGAGAACTGCTCTTACAGGAGAAAAGAGGATCAAGGCTTAACAAAAGAAAATGCAAGCAAGTGACATAAAGGTACAGAATTTGCAGGTGTGGCAATGTAGCAATCGTTTCACTAGATCTCAGTTTCCTCATTTCTGAAATGAGTTTTAGGCAAGATACCTGGAATCAATTAGCAGGCCAGTCCACGAAGCACTGATGAGCAAAGGCCTAGCTAGACGTCCCTAGTGACACACAGCGGCAGTGCAGCAGCTCATCTCAGAGCCTGTGACGGGGGCCTTGACATCTGCCTCCCTGCAAAACGGGAAGGGGTTTTTGAGACATCCAGACTGTCTTTCCAGACCTAGCCCATAAAATAGATGCAGTGTACAGACCACAAAAGTAGGCATCTGCTTGGAGAGAAGGTACCTCTGGATTTTTTACAGGATCGAGTTTCATGCTGTCAGACATCAAACTCCTCCTTATTGGCAAAACACTTCTAATGCACAGCAGGACAGGCTGAACTTCCTGTGTCCTGATTTATCATGGGGAACCTCGGTTTTACATCCTCTCATGGCACATTTTAGGGCTTAGAGATTTTAAAAAAAAAAGCGGGGGTAAAGGAAACAGATGACGCTGTAAATGGATGAAAAGTAAGTAGAAAAGGTAAAAAGAACTAAAAATGCAAAAAGGCTCCCTGTCATCTGCACAAAGTACTTACTGCTTTGGGTCATCATCATGCCTTTTCTGAGATACCAAACCTTGTGTTTATAACCGACTACAATTTCAATCTGTGACATGAAGACTGTAACAGTGACCCCACACCACAGCAGACCACGTGGAAAACAGGTAAGGAAAAGGCGCGGACCTTGCCACAGAAGGCAGGAATGACCACGCTGATATCCCGTAGGTCACCATGACCCTAGAGACACTCACATATTCAACAATGGCTCTCACAAGCCAGACCAGTGACAGGTTGACAGAGGGCGTTTCCACCAGAACAGGGTCAAGCCACATGAGGGCTGGGAGGTGGAAAAGCTGACCTTCAGGTTGGCAAGAAGATGAAGGAGGAACGAAGATGCCCATCCTCGCTCAACACACTGCCAGGCCACCTTGGAACGCATAAATCCAAGAGGCTTAACACTGGTTTGTCCTTTTAAAATAAAACAATTACATTTTGTGCATCTTCATTGCTTAATCTGCTAACGAGAGACACACCTTGTGTTCCAACTGTGAGGCCCGCGAGCTCACCAGCGCGGTGCAGATCCTGTCTTCACGGCATCCCGGACACGTGCGCCGTGGAAGTCAGAGGCTGGAGCTGCTTCCAGCCATTTCCGAGGATGAAAAGAAACAAACGGGATTCACTAACATCTTAAAAATCCTTCTACGATGATTTTATTATAAATACGTTCCTTTGGAATAAACAAATATTGCATTCGAGACTATCTGCAAACTTGCTCTAAAGTAATAAAAGAGGAAAAATGGAACCAGGTACCCTTTAGAAACAGAAATAAATAGCAAAGACACCTGCACGCCATGCGAAGCGCCTTTCTCCCAAGAAGTAACAGAAGGTTAACAGAGAACGTCACATTTCTCATCAGCCCGTTCAATCAAAATAAGCTTTGAGTTTGGTAATTTGCACTTGTCTTGTAAACTGAGCTGCTCCTTCCTCAGTCCTCGGAGCCCAGGCATCACCAAGAAGGATCTTGATTGTGTATTCGTAACGCTTTGTTCAGGGTTTTGCAAGCTGCTCCCTATTTGCCGGGAGTAACGTCGGAGTAATCCTTCAGCACTCCGGCCAAGTGCTCGTTATGAGTCTTAAACCGTCGCTTTTTCTGCGAAGCAGGCTTTTTCCTTCTCTGAATAGGGGCCTGGAGGAAAAGGTAAGAATGGTCAGAAACACGACAGCTGCTCTGAGGGTCACACGGTCTGGACTTACTGAGCACACCCAGAAGCCGGCGGCAAAGGACGCGGGGTCTGGGCCTGTTCCCCGCTCCGTGGCCCAGCGTCACACACCCGCCCATGGCACACGCCCCAGCTGACCCCGGGCTTTCTGTCACTGGGAGAGGAACCTCCATCATGAAGAAACGGGCTGGCATGAAAACTTACCAGAACCGTTCTAGGCACTAAGTGGATAAAACAAAAGAGAGGCAGTGAAGCACTGTTTTCTGCCTCTGTTACCAGGTTTAAAAATATATCCACTGTTACCAATAAAAAAAGATCATAAGTAAATATGGCAAACACTGGGAAATGGATGGGCTCACAAGGTTTGTCATATCATTCTCTATTCTTCTCTGTAGACTCGATACATAAGTATCACTGGATAAAAAATCAATAAACTAAATAATAGGGAGTCAGGAAGGGCTGCAATTACACTCATTTTTGGACAGACTGTTGGCAATAAACCTTCTCTTTTTGAGTCCTAAAAATTCACTGAACACACACAGAGACACACGCACTGGAAAGCCACCAGGAAGACGAGCTACAACGCTGGTGCTGGGGACAGAGGGAGAGCGGCACAGAGCTGCAGCGCAGGTGCTGGGACCAGCCCCACCCCGGCTTCGCTCTCCGACTGTCGATGGCTGGTTGGCTGGTGCAGGCAACTTACAAGCCTTCGTTTGACTTCTAATGCCTCCTCCCAGCAGGATTTAGGGGCAATGAAGACAAAAAGATCTGGTTCCTAAGGGACCTAAAAATCAACAAGGACAGCTCAACATGCTCAGGGCTGTGTCAGAGCCAGGCCCACGGGGCAAGTGTGGAGTACAGTCAAGGTGTCACAGGCCAAGCAGCTGCAGACTCGAGTTCCTTTCGGAAACCAGAGCGTGTGCAGCGGATTCTCAGTAGGAGACGGGCAACCCACGGGCCCCAGAAACAGCTCGGTGTGGCGTGGGTTTGGGAGCCGGCGCTGCAAGGAAGGGGCCAAGGTGACAGGAAAGGCTCTCTCGGGCCCGGTCTGCCCACGTCGCCAGGTGGGACAGGGAGAGGACTGGCAGGGGAAGCAGGCTCACAGTTCCAGGGACAGGGGGTTAAACTGTTTTTCTGGAGATTACACACCACTTTCTTTGGTCCAGATTCCTGCATGGAAGAAATACCCTGTCGCTTCAGATACTCTTCAATTTTCTCCTCGTCCATCGAATCCACAGTGACACTCCTCCACAGCTTCTGAAATTCTGTACCGACAGACAGCAGTTACTTCACAAGAGATTTTTACACAGTGCAGCACGTCAGTGACCAAAATCCAGGCTTCAGTATTATCTCCTCTGCATCGAAATGAGCACATCTGAGATTTCATCATAAAAACAAAGTGAGGCCAGAACGCTGGAGTGCTGGACACTGCGCAGAAGGCCTGGGAACCGGACTGCACCCGCCCGGCTGCATCAGCGGGGCTCGGTTTTTAGAGGCCAGTAAACGCAGGGTGGTAAGACGAAGGCCTCCCTGCTTTCCTGGGAGGAAGGGCCATCGACACTCTCCTTTCATTCCTCCATCTTGGGCAAATAATTCAGCTCCCTGCTGGGCTCCCCAGCTCAGCACACTCCACTTCCTCTCGCCAGTGGTCGTAAGAAACACGCAGGGCGATGGGCCAAAGCTCCACATGGAAGTGAGGTGCTAGCAATCTATTTGCAAAAAATATTTTTGAAATCAAATAACCTGGGCACTGGTGACTAAGAGGACACAAAAGAGAACAGGGGTAGCTGAAACAGAAAAGGTCTCACAGCCCCCCACCGCCAGGTGGTAAGGCGACCATCCCGCCCACACCGTCCTCCAGTCCT